GCCTGCTTCCATAACTCTTTTTTTTTTTTTTCCCCTAACTCTTATCAGGGACAAGATGCAAAGAGCTTGGCGGGCTCCACTTTCCCATTCAGTGTTCGATCTCAGCCCTTTCTTTCCTCTTCTTGTAGAAACAGATGAATCACTGAGCTACCTGCTGTCCCAAGTGAAGGCACACTTCTCTTCCACTCACTTCTGTAAACATCACTAGCAGATTCTGCAAAGACAAGGACAACGCAGGAACACACCTGTCCTCCAGATGTCCCCAAGTAAGCTAGCCAGGGTGAGTAGTAACAGGATAAGAGTTTGTCTCCCCTCCTCCCCTTGCTCCCTAGGTAGGGGATGATGCCTGCTCCACAGCCATCTCTCCAGCAGCAATGTCACCGTTCAGCCCCTCCACATCCTGCCAGCATGAGGGAGGGACCACTGTGTTCCATCCACAACACCCAGTCCCAAGACCACACTTCCTCCCTGCAGGAGTTACTGGTGCCCATAAGGGAGAGGGGGGCACACACATTTTCTCAGCCACAGCAGTGGAGCTGGCCCCAGCCGGGAAACAGCAGTCGCTTTCCACTACAAGTTCCTTCAAGTGATGACCTTCCTCTTAGCAGGGGCTGATGGGAAACATGCCCACAGCTAAACATTCAGAACTGTTGTCCAAAACTCCAAATCCAAGGGCATCCTTCCATTTAACCACTCAGCAACTTCCTTTTGCAAGTACACTTTGTTTTTCAAACACATTTAAGCAGAACAGAGCAGAGTTTCAAGTAGACCTATAAAATGCTCTCTCAAAAAGAAAGTTTTTTTTATTCTAGTAGATCATTTAGTAATTGAAGTTTCCATGACAAATGGGTAATCTCCTATAGATCACATATAAATATTTAAAATTATTTTCTGGATGTCCAGGCAAATGTGTAGGTCAGAAGCTGCTTTTTTTCTTATTTCCAGTGCTTTCTGGTTGGGCAAGGAGCCCAGGTACCCATATGGGCTGCGCAAATGAGTGAGATGCCAGGGCCACTCAGGAAAAGGGTGCATCATGGTGTGTATCTCAGTTTTGCTTCCAGTTTTATCAAAGACAAGACAGCCACATCCAAAATCTTATAAATCGATACCTGAATGGTCAATGGGTACAATAGATATTTTATTCATAAAGTGAAGCATGTGGTCCAGATCTTTAGAAGCAGCTTCTTTGAGCTAGAAAGTCTCAGCTTAACTGTAATCTGAGATTCAATAATGTAAGAATGGTCTCCTTTCTTGCTGGAGACCTGCTTGGGGCACAATAAATAAGTAGCAAAACTCCTCATAATGTAGCGTCTGGATATGACAGCAATCTCTATTACCTCTCCCCGTTTCCCTGAGGCAGGAATTTAGATACTACTCACCTGGGCTTTTCCAGCTCAGAGTCCCAGGAGGACCTGTCAGGGGACAGCAGAGGCTGCAGTCACTACTGGTGGGCAAGTTCGATGACCCTCAGGCTGCTGAAATGTCTTCACAGCACTTCAGCTGGCATCCCCCAGAGCAAGCCAAACCAGAGAGGGCAGCTGGGCAATGTTTGTGACCCATGGCCTCAGAGCCTCACAGCAAGACCTCCAGCACAGTTCACTGTGGGACAAGTGCTATAAAGGAGTAGGGTTATCACACTATCAGAGAGCTAGTAGGCAGGATGGATGCTGATGTGAACCCTTCAAAAGATTCAGTTTGCCCCAGGGTTTAGCACTCAAGGAGCCTTCCCTGGTGGCTCGGAAGGTAAAGACTCCACCTGCAATGCAGGAGACGTGGGTTCAATCCCTGGGTTGGGAAGATGCCCTGGAGGAGGGCTTGACAACCCACTCCAGTATTCTTGCCTGGAGAATCCCATGGACAGAGGAGCCTGGAGGGCTACAGTCCACAGGGTCACAAAGAGTCAGACATGACTTAGCATGCACACACACTAGCATATCACCTGGCTAAGCTCACGCTGGGGAGGGCGTAGGGGATAGTTTCCCTGTGACACAGGATAGTTTCCCTGGCTCTGAAGTCCCACCCCCAGCATTCTGCTAGAAAGTTCTTCTCTAAAGTTTTTTTTTTTATTGGAGTATAATTGCTTTACAATGTTGTGTTCATTTTTGCTATGCAACAAAGTGACTCAGCTATATGCATGCATATACCCTCTCCTTCCTAAGCCTCCCTCCCTCCTTCCCCCCAATCTCACCCCTCTTGTTCATCACAGAGGACAGGAGTGAGCTCCATGTGCAGTAAAGCAGTTTCCCACTAACTATTTTACATATAATAATGTATTTATGTCAATGCTACTCTCTCAGCTCATCCCACCATCCCTTTCCCCTCACTGTGTCCACAGGTCTGTTCTCATATCTGAGTCTCTATTCCTGCCCTGCAAATAGGTTCTTATCTACCTGCCTCCTGAGAAACCTGTATACAGGTCAAGAAGTAACAGTGAAAACCAGACATGGAACAATAGACTGGTTAAAAATTGAGAAAGGAGTATGTCAAGGCTATATATTGTCACCTTGCTCATTTAACTTATATCCAGAGTACATCATGTGAAATGCTGGGCTGGATGAAGCACAAGCTGGAATCAGGATTGCTGGGAGAAACATCAGTAACCTCAGATATACAGATAATACCACCCTAATGACAGAAAGCAAAGAGGAACTAAAGAGCCTCTTGATGAAGGTGAAAGAGAGTGAAAAAACTGGCTTAAAACTCAACATTCAAAAACAAAGATCACAATATCTGGTCCCATCACTTGATGGCAAATAGAAGGGGGAAAGGGGGAAGCAGTGACAGATTTCCTCTTCTTGGGATCTAAAATCACTGTGGATGGTGACTGCAGCTATGAAATTAGAAAATGATTGCTTCTTGGCAGGAAAGCTATGACAAATCTAGACAATGTGTTAAAAAGCCAAGAAGTCACTTTGCTGACAAAGGTCCGTATAGTCAAAGCTATGAATTTTCCAGTAGTCATGTATGTATGTGAGAGCTGGACTGTAAAAAAGCCTGAGGACCTAAGAATTGATGTTTTCAAACTGTGGTGGTAGAGAAGACTCTTTAAGAGTCCTTTGGACAGCAAGGAGATTAAATCAGTCAATCCTAAAGGAAATCAACCCTAAATATTCATTGGAAGAACTGATGCTGAAGCTGAAGCTCCAATAATTTGGCCACCTGATGCAAAGAGACAACTCATCGGAAAAGACTGTGATGCTGAGAGACTGAGGTCAAGAGGAGAAGGGAGAAACAGAAGCTGAGATGGTTGGATGGCATCACTTACTCAATGGACATGAATTTGAGCAAACAATCCAGGAGAGTGTGAAGGACAGGGAAGCCTAGCTTGCTACAGTCCATGGGGTCACAAAGAGTCGTATACAACTGAGCAACTGAACAATGAGTCCTAGACCAGCAGCCACAGCTGGTCTTTGGATGGAGTCTGGAGAGAAAGCTTTCCAGGCAGCCTGATAGAATGTCAATGAACCTCGGGGCTCAGAAGTAACTCGCTTTCCTGTTACACAGTTTCCAACAGTGACCCCGCACAGACCAGGTCGACTCAGAACATTCAGTACAAATGCTGGACTGCCCGCTCATCCCTAAAAAAAGCCTTTAGCTCCTGGCACCAGAGTTGCTTAGAAAGCAAGCTCCCTGGGAAAGGGAAGGAGTCCTACCTACACTTGGGAAAACAAAGCCAGCCAGAATCTAGACCTGCTTCCATGTGACTAGGGGAGGACTTGCCACATGGGAGGTGGGAGGCGATGGCCAGTGTGATGGCAGCCAGAAAGCTACTGGAGTGGGGCCCCAGAGAGCTGCAGGAAGGCATTCCAGGTTGAGTGAGGCTCACCACAGCCATTTCCACGGCAGTTTCTTTTGAAGTCCACATTCTCCTCTCACTGCAGTGCTGACCCCACTTGGTCCCAGAGTGGTTCCCAGAGCCTCACAGCATGTTAGCGTGGAGATGCGATCCTAGTACTTGGAGCGAAGAAGCAGCGCCCTGGAGCCTCAGTACAAAGACTAGTCCATTAGCATCAGACAGGTTTATTAAGCTGTGAATGTGAAAGTGATAGTCACTCAGTCATGACCAACTCTTTGAGACCCCATGGACTATAGCCTGCCAGGGTCCTCTGTCCATGGAATTCTCCAGGCAAGCATACTGGAATGGATTGCCATTTCCTTCTCCAGGGGACCTTCCCAACCCAGGGATCAAACTGGGGTCTCCTGCACTGCAAGCAGATTCTTTGCCATCTGAGCCGCCAGGGAAGCAGCAGACAGGTTTACTGGGCTGAGAAGGAAGGAATTCTGAGTGAGGGAAACGGAAGGAGCAGGACAGATTCCTCAGCATTGCTGATATGTCCTTGAGTGGATGTGCTGCTCAGGATGAATCTATGAGTTCATGCCCGGATGAACCATCCAGGCAGGCATAGATGCAGGGTTAGTCAGTAACAGAGAGAGAGCTATAGATACTTAAAAGAGGAAGCCTGGTAACTGGAGACTTGCTGCTATGTTGCCCTCTATGCCCTGAGCAAATGTCTGTGAGATACTTCCAGATCTATCCGGGGATGTATCCATGTTATCACTCCTACTTCCCACACTGGGTGTTGAACACTATATCAAAGGCAGTGTATTATTGTTCCTATTAATGCAACAATGAACATCTCCTGTGTCCCTCCTAAGGGCCAGCATTATCTGAAACAGTCTCCATATATTTTGCTCTTCAAACTACACAGTACTCCTAAGAGGGGAAAATGAGGCAGAGAGAAGTGGCATAGTCACTGGCCTGGCTTGAGAATCTGCACCCAACGCCCTGCCCATGCTACACAGGAGGGCTGGTCAGAGCCTTCTGCACATGCTCACCAGCTCATTCATTCAGGGCCTGGAGCTCAGTCCACAGGCCACTTCGTCTGCAGTGGGGATTCGAGGAGGAAGAAGGGGTGGATTGTTCACAGTTGGGATGGTGAGTCATCAGAAGGTCCCTTAGTGGATCCCAAGCCACCCACTTCACCACTGCTAGGGCCACCATGTCCAGAAGTCAGTGGGCTCTTGGGGCCTGGGTTTCACTCCTTGAGGATGGAGCCCTGGGCGAGGTGAGCCCGGCTCCTGCATTTGATTCAATCACGATATTTACCCCAGAATCTCACTCTGCTCAGAGCACTGTGGTTGCTCTCAACAAGATATCCTACCCTCAGCATCTACATTCTAGCCGAGGGGGAAACAGCAATAAACAGAAAACCCGGAAGAAGCAAGTCCTGAAGAGTGCAGACAGCGACGAGCTGCCAGCAAAGGGAAAGCAGCGTGTCCAGGAGAGGCCACTGGTCTTGTGGGAGCTGGTGTTACGGAGGTGAGATGGAAGCCAAGATGGGGGGGGCCCAGGGGATCTGGGCAAGTGGACTGAGGGGGAGAGAGGCAGAGCAGGGGGCCAGACCTCCCTCAGGCAGCGCCTGGAGACCTGCTCTCTGCTCAGGTGCTCAAATATCGTGGCAACCCCCAGCCACAGAGTCACCCGAAGAAGGCTTATTGGGAACAAAGCTCAGAACTTCAAGCAGAGGCCACAGCATGAAGAGACACAAAGAGAAGCCACGCCTGAGGGCAGGGATCTACTTCAACTGGGCCGTTGTCCCTGTTCCCACCCACCCCTCAACCACTGAAGCAGCCCCGATGCCTACCCGCCTGCAGGCTGTGACCTAACTGGCTTGAAATCATGTCATTCATGCTGGTTCAGAGTTATGATAGAAGGTGACACTTCCCAAGGCCTTTGGTGGCTGCATAAATCAAACGCAGGATGCCCAGGTCTACAGTAGGGAGGGTGGGGAGCCTGGAAAACTGGAGGCCTGGGCTTCCCTCTGAAGGCACCGCCTTAAACACTCGAAATGAAGGAGCAGATGTTTAAACTGTCTGGGAACTGAATCATGTCTGCCACCCCGTGAGGCTTCCAGCTTAGTGGAGGAGCAATCTCGATCTAGTCCAACCCTCCTGGGTTACCTGAGAGAAGACAGAGGCAGTCACTGGCCGGGGCCGCATCTTCAGGCGCACGTGGAGGGAGGCTCCACAGCAGGGCCAGGCTGGGCAATGACAGGGCTGACTCAGGGCTCTGGGTCAGGGGACAGTCACAGCTGACCATGGCACCTTGGGAATCCAGAGAGGAATCCAATGTCAGATCAGTGTACAGATGGTGCATCCGGGTTCATGTTTGGATAGCCACTCTGCTGACAGCTTGAGAGTCACCACTGAGTGTCCTGCAGGACAAATGGCTCGACTTCCCAGGCCTCTCCTTGTCCTGAAGAACCGAGGTCACAGACGCTTGTCTCATGGCCAGCAAGGGCACTCACAGCCACCCAAGTGCCCTGTCCCTGAAGCCAGGCTTCTCACTCACAGGAAGGGAAAGAAGCCTGCTCTTGGAGACCACCCCATCCCCCACGGCCTGGTCAGAGCCACCAAAAGGCCTGGATGTTCCCGTGATGTGAACGGACCTAGAGTCTGTCACACAGAAAGTCAGAAAGAGAAAAACAAATGTCATCTCTGTTGTCAGTCGCTCAGACACATCCGCTGCTTTGAGACCCCATGGACAGCAGCACGCCAGTCTTCCCTGTCCTTCACTGTCTCCCGGAGTGTGCTCAGACTCATGTCCATTGAATCGGTGATGCCATCCAACCATTTCACCCTCTGCCTCCCCCTTCTCCTACCGCCCTCAATCTTTCCCAGCGTCACGGTCTTTTCCAATGAATCAGCTCTTCGCATCAGGTGGCCAGAGTACTGGAGCTTCAGCTTCAGCATCAGTCTTTCCAATGAATATGCAAATATCATGTATTAGTACATATATATGGAATTTAGAAAAATGGTACAGATGAACTTATTTCCAGAGCAGGAATAGAGATGCAGATGTAGAGAACAGACATGTGGATCCAGGGCGGCTGGGGGGGGCGGGGGGGCTGGAGATGAATGGGAGAGCAGGATTGACAGACATATATACACTACCAAGTATAAAATAGACAACTAGTGGGAACCCGCTGTACATCACAGTGGAGCTCAGCTGGCTGTGATCACCTAGAGGGTTGTTGGGGGGCGGAGTGTGAGCAAGGTTCAACAGGGAGGGAATATGTGTATACACATAGCTGACTGACTTTGTTGTACAGCAGAAACTAACATGACATTGCAGAGCTGTTATATTCCATAATAAATAAATGGCTTCCCAGGTAGATCAGTGGTAAAGAATCTGCCACCAGTGCCGGAGCTGCAGGAGACACAGGTTCGATCCCTGGGTCAGGAAGATCCCCTGGAGAAGGAAATGGCAACCCATTGCAGTGTTCTTGCCTGGGAAATCCCATGGACAGAGAAGCCTGGTGGGCTTCAGTCCATGTCTGTGTCAAATATTGTCTGTGGTCATCAGAGATTAATTTGTTGTTGATTTCAAAGGAAGCCCATAGGAGGATGGGGAGGCATGGTGAATGTCTCCAACTTAAGGAATCAGATCAAAGAAAATCTGCCTAAACCCTGGCTGTGCATCCAGGTGAGCACAACACATCTTTGGGCAGCTTGTGTCCATTTCAATATCAGCACAGCTACTAGAATAGTCTGTGCTGAGCACAGATCCGAGTCTGTAACCTGATAGCGACCGGCAAGTTTAAAGAATCGCAGTGGTTCATCCTCAGAAGAGCTGACACCTTCTTCAGAACCTTCCAAAAGAGAATGGTGGTTTGGCCAACACTAGCATCCAAGCCGTGACGGGCTGTCAGAAATTCTAGACACGCTGGTCAGTGCCTCTAATGGCACCATGGAGGGATGCCAGCTATGGCTGGACCCTGAAATAGTTGGCACTGATCAAGATCCCAGAATCTTCCTTATTGTGGTTCTTAAAGACACTGTCCACAAAGACTAGATCCTTCCAACCTCCAGGAGGTTTTTTGGCCTGTCTGCTGTTCATGTGGCTCCTCTAGACTGGCTGCAGAAGAAAAGCAAAGCTGAGACTGTCTGGCCACCCATGGACACTGTCAGTCTGGCAAGAGCCATCTGCAGTTTGGGGGCATTTTACCCCCAAATGGCAGGTGTACCAGATGTCTGAACAAGGCCCACACTATGAGCATGCCATGTCTGTGCTGGCCTGTTCAGAGTCACTTAGATTGCGTTTCCCCAGCCAGCGCAGACCAGCTCCATCGCCCCTACTTCTGCAAATAGCTGTAGGTGTCTCCTGCACTACTTCTTCAGGCAAAGCCAAGCCGAGGGGGCCCACACTCAGGCTGTTTTCCAAAGAGATCGTGAGACGTTTAATTCTATGTGTCAATTTGACTGCTGGAACTGTTTGCCAAACACCTGGTAAAACATTATTTCTTGGTACATCTGTGGGATGTTTCAGAAGATATTAGCATTTGATTCAGTGGACTGAGTCAAGGTCACCCTTGCAGAGTGGGCAGCCATCAGCCAATCTCCCGAGGACCTGAAAAAAAGGCAGAGGAAGGGCAGATTCACTCCGCCCTCTTAAGTGGGACGTCTGTCTTCTCCTGTCCAGACTTCCCTGATCTCAAGCTTGCAAACAGCAGATCATGGCACCTCTCAGCCTCCATAAATGTGTGAGTCAATTGCTATAATAATTCTCTTATATCCATCTATCTTATTGGTTCTGTTTCTCTGGGAACTCTGACAATACAAGTTGTTATCAATGTATTTTCAACACAGCATGGCCTGAAAATCGACCACAGCCCCTCCCCCCACACGCCTCCCTAGCACAACAAATGGTAACAGAGGGGGGGAAAAAAATCCCTTCTGGGCTGAGAATGGACAAGGGAGATTTTACCTCCTAGCTTGTGTAAACTTACTGACTTCCTTCTATTCGTAGCCCACCAGGTGGCAGATGGAAATGGCAGAGGGCTCAGCTTTCACGAGAACTGAAGGCGGGACAGCAAGTTTTCTCCGTGAGTAACTGTGGTATGTGGATGTTTTACAGCCTTAGAGAAAATGAGGCTGCTGTGTATGTTTTGCTACTACCTGGTAAGTGGTTTCCTGGCCTGGCTTTCACTATGAAGCATGATTTGCACTAGTTGTCAGTATAATTCCCCAGATTTGCCTGAAAATACTCTGGACTGTGTCCTCCCAACCTTCAGCTTTCATTCAGTTTCGCTTCTGAGATGAAGCCATTGGTGATGTTCCTGCTCAGTTATGGTTCTGTTTTTGCAAATGGTTACACATTTTCCCCTCATTTACAGACAGAGATAGACAATAGATGATAGATAGATGATAGATAAATAGATAGCTGTTGTGGTTTAGTTGCTAAGTTGTGACCAACTCATTGCAACCCCATGGACTATAGCCACCAGGCTCTTCTGTCCATGGGATTCTCTGGACAAGAATACTGGAGTGGGCTGTCATTTCCTTCTCCAGGGGATCTTCTTGACTCAGGGATAGAACCTGCATCTCCTGAGTCTCCTGCCTTGCAGGTGGATTCTTTACTGCTGAGTCACCGGGGAAATGGATAGATATTATTTTGCTGAAACCTCCAGAATCACTTTCCACATCTCTGCCTTCACAAACCACACTTGTTAAACTCTTCCCATATCAGGCTCACACCAACACTGCGTGTTACTCACTGTGAATAAATGGATGGAGCGGGAGGAGTTGGGAGCCACCCTTCAGGATGGATAGACCAGACAGATGGGCAACAGAAGGCCCAGTGGAGACCAGAAATGCCTCTCAGCTCTCCTAAGGATTCAGGGTCTTGAATAAGCTGTCCTGCCTCCCCGGGCTTCAGCCCCTCGCTTACAAAAGGGGCTCTTGGGACTTCCCCAGTGGTCCGGTATTTAAGAGTCTGCCTGCCAGAGCAGCAGAGACACAGGTTTGATCCCTAGATCAGGAAGATCCCCTGGAGTAGGAAATGGCAACCCACATCAGCATTCTTGCCTAAAGAATCCCAAGGATTTACGTTCTGCCAGTGCAGGGGACACATGTTCGATCCCTGGTCTGGGAAGGTGCCTCATGCTGCAGGGCAAGTAAGCTCACACACCACAACCAGTGAGCTTATGCTCTGGAACCCATGCTCCCCAATAAAAGGAGCCATCTCAATGAGAGCCCTGCACACCCAGTGAGACACAGCCCCCTCGCCACAGCTAGAGAAAGCCCACGCATCACAACAAATACTCAGTGAAGCCATGAATAAGTAAACATACAATTTTTTCATTTATTTAAAAATAAATTTTAAAAAGGGAACTCTTGAAGGAGGCATGTGGTGAGCACATGCTGCAGGAACCCCTCCAGTGCTACAGAGTCTGTCACTCACGGTGGTGTCCCCTCAGCCCATCACGGGTCCCACCACTGGCTGTCATTCTCAGGGGGCAACACATAAAAACACGCCTGCTCATTATAATGCAGAAAACAGAAAGCACAAGTTTAAATGCTGGGCCTTCAGCAAATGACCAGGCTCACATAGCCACCTAACTCATTCATTTCATTGCTTACTGGAGCTACTCATTATTACACCCATTGTACAGATGAGCAAATGGAACCTCAAGGCACAAGCAGTTTGGCCAAAGTCATATAGCTGATTCTAGAAAATGAAGCCAGAGAGTTGTTGTTCAGTCTCTCAGTCATGTCCAACTCTTTGTGACCCCATGGACTGCAGTACACCAGGCTTCCCTGTCCTTCACTATCTCCTGGTGTTTGTTCAACTCATGTCCATTGAGTCGATGATGCCATCCAACCATCTCATCCTCTGTTGACCCTTGTCCTTTTGCCTCAATCTTTCCCAGCATTAGGGTCTTTTCCAATGAATCAACTCTTCACAAGAGAGAGATATGACTCTAGAAGTCATAATCTCTCCACCCTGAGATGTTCCCCTTTAATGAAAACATCTTACCCCCTCTATGTTTCCAGTTTGGAGACCCACAGGCATGGAGTTGAGCTCGATATGCTAGCAGGAAACCTAGAGCCCCATCACTGCTCCTCCAACTCCTTTCTGTGCAGTCTTGGGTGGTGCTATGAGTCTCTGAGTGGCCTCTGAGCCTCAGTTTCTTCTTCTGCAAGATGGATATGCTGATGCCAGGGAGCTGGTTTCGAGGATTCACTGCATGACATGCACAGCAACGCTGCATTGATGGATGCATTTGGCAGGTGTATTTACCTGTTTTCCAGTAACTCCCTGAGCTCAGGAAGAGAAGCACTGCTGAGATGACTGTGGTACGGAGGCCTGGTTTCCTGGGGCTGCTCTAACAAAGCACCACTAACTGGGGTGCTTAAGCAATAGAAATGTATCATCTCACAGTTTTGGAGTCCAGAAATCAGAAACCAAGGTGTCGGCAAGCTCCCTGCAAGAGTCTGGGTGGAATCCCTTCTCGCCTCTTCCAGCTTCTGATGGTGGCTTTTAGATGCACTGCGCCCATCTCTGCCTTTGCTCTCACATGGCCATCTTCCCTGTGTGTCTGTCTTTTCCTCTTCTTATAAGGACTCCAGTCATAATGGATTAAGACCCACTCTAATTCTCTCCTCTTAACTGGACTGAATCCTCTGAGCTCCTTCTTTCGGGTCCCTGGAATGAATCCAACACTTATGTGTAGTTTCCCCACGCTGGTGAGCAATACTTAGATGCCAGCAGGGGGTCCAAGACTTCAACTCAATTCTAATACTATCCACCCAGCAAAAGCATCAGATGCCACACGTAAAATGCTCCAACCCACAAGACCACTCTCCTCTTCAGATGCCAGCCACAAACCCAGGTTGTCACCTACGCTTCCCCTCTTTGTAGTGCGCTTCCCATCTACTATCAATCAGAGCTTCCCACAAACCCCCACCCGCTTCCTCAACTCAATTAATGTGCTAGAATGGCTCACAGAGCTCAAGAAAATCCATTTCCTCAACAGATTACTATTTATTACAAAAGGATGTTAAAAGATATGAATCAACAGTCAGATGAAGAGATTCATAGGCTGAGATTTTTTTTTTCATTTATTTTTATTAGTTGGAGGCTAATTACTTTACATCATTGTAGTGGTTTTTGTCATACATTGAAATGAATTAGCCATGGATTTACATGTATTCATAGGCTGAGATTTTGAACAGAGAGGTCTCTGTCCACACAGCTTGGGGCCCAACTCGGTGGCATATAGAAGCTCTCTGAAATGGTCAAAAATCTGCCCTTTGAGGGTTTGTGGAGGCTTCATTACATTATCACGGTTATCTAAATCACTGGCCAGTGGCAACTGATTCAACCTCCTCTCCCATCCCTGGAAATCAAGGGATGGAACTGAAATTCCAGCCCTCTAATCACATGATTGGTTCTCCTGGCAATAGGCCCCCATATTTAGGTGCTGCTAAAAGTCACTTCATCCATATGACAAAAGACAGTTTTATCACTCTCTACATTTAAGAAATTCCAAGGGTTTATGAGCTGTGAGCGAGGAACTGTGGAACACAGCCAAGTATATATTTCCTATAAATCTCAATGTTGTTGTTCTATCAGAGTCACATTCAACTCTCTGCAGCCCCATGGACTGCAGCACACCAGGCTTCCCTGACCTTCTCGCAGAG